CCTCCCTGTCTTATCCAACAACTTTGCCGCCCTTTTCTCCTCCAAATTCCCTGAAATCCACAGGCTTCTGGCTCTTCGGCACTTCACATTCTCTCTCACCAGCCATCCACCACGATCAGTTTACTCACACCCTGCCTTTTTCTTTTCTCCTGACTGGTTGTTCTTTTCACATCCCTCTTTCTCTTTTTCAGATTCAGACATTTTCAAATCTAACACTTGCATTCAGGACCTTCACCCCACTCACATCTTGCCCCCCAAGCTCCTTTTTTATACTACCTCTCTCCAAACTATCTCTCTCCTCTCAGGCTCTTGTCCTTCTGGATTTAAACAGGCCTGCATTATACGTGCCTTAAAAATCTATTCTCTCTTTAAAACCCTTGACACCGCAGACCACCTCATCCTACTGTCAACACTCACTGACTTTCTGGTACTGCTCATTCCTACCACTCTGATCACTCTCTTCCTGCCTCAGTGATCACATGTATGAGGCCTCCTGGCAAACCTTGCTCTTTGCTTATTACTTTCTTTATACTGGTGTACCCCAGGGCTCTATCATAGTTCTAATACTTATTCTTTCTTTACACCCGAGCTGTGGGTGCCTTCAGCCCTTCCACAGTTCTCCATTCTATACTGATGATGCTTAAATCTTTCTCTTTTTTCCTCCCACTGATTGTCATATCTCCACCCTTATTCTCTGCCAGTCTAATGGCCATTTCTCCCTCCTGCTCTGTGGAGTTCTCCCTATCTCACTTCCTTTTGACTCCACCACTCTACTCTCCTCCTCCTCTACCAATAACTTCTGTGTCACTGATTTCTTATTGATACTGTACATGCATCCTTCTGGTTAAGGATCTGAGCCCTGTTAACATTTACTGAAGTTTAAAGTTATATAGTGCAGTTAGAAAGATGTTCAATTATTTAAAGAACTAATTATATTTTTATATTTTTAAAAATTGTATTTGCTTTGTGAAAGGTGATAATTAATGTAGGTAGAGGAAACCTTCCACTCAGAGTTATTTAGATGTGTTTTAATCCACCAATTCCTCTCTTCTAGAAGACAAAATATCAGATTTGTCTGGTGAAGTTAATAAACTAAATAGATTTTGATATTGTAAAGCCCAATGTTCTTGTTGTCAGACAAAAAGAGCCAATGAGATGAAGTGCAAAACTTAACAGCTCATTTTTCTCTGTTATACTGATACATTTTAAAAATGTACTGAATGAGATCTGGAATCACTAGTGTTTGCTGTGTTGTAAATACCTCCAAGTATAATGTAAAACTTTGGTACAGGTTAACAACATGGTAAACAGCATGTATTTTATTTTCTTTTCATTCATGTCTGACCTTCAGTTACAGGCTTCACCTTAGTATTACAATGGGTGGTTCAAAGGCTCCACCAGAACTCACTTTCTCATTACGGAAAAAGTTTCATGTCCTTGTGCTACACAAATTAGTTTGTGTAACTCTGTAAATCAACCATGATATTCACATGTTCTCTTAAGAAAGGCCAAGGGTGTCATTCTATTTTCTCTGCCCTGCTTTCATATTTATGCCTCTCATTTTCAGTTCATTGCCTGTGCCTCTGTTGCACTATCCATCAACACTTTTATCCTCCCAGCTCCAACAAAAGAACATAAAATGCTCTTTTATGCAGGAGGAATATTGCAGCAAATAAAAAATAAACAAGTTCTTTATTAATCTGCCAGAATAATAAACTATTTAATAAACTAATACAGTAGTGTTTAAATAAGGTAATTTGCATCACTCACACTCTAATGGGTTGTAAAATGTTATTGATCAGAAAACCTAAAGAGTTATAAGGAAGGTTTATGGTATGTGAGTATGTACTATGCACTGGAGAAATTTAACTGATATATTTATGAGTTTGCATAAGTGAAGGACAGTCATGTGAAGAGATGTCCTCTTAATGACTACTTTTCAAATGAAATACTGAATATTCCAGACAATTGTCAAAATAAATGATTAAGGGTTCTGTTCAAAATTGTACCTCACACCACAACCACAAAAGTATTTTAAATCACACTAATAAAAACAATGCACAAAAGTGCTATAAAGTCAATTAGAGTGAGGCCTTTACATCATAAAATATATTTTATCTTCCTAAAAATGGTATTTGAAGAATGCAAAGGAACAAGTAAAGGTTTATTCCAGGAATGTTTTACTGGTTTGATAGTAACACAACTCACATGAGAATAAGCATATCAAAAGGTGATTTTTGTTTTTAAAAAAAAGCGTTTTACATACAGTTGCTGCATTCAGTCTTTAATTGTTTCATTGAATGTTTCATTGTAAGTACTCATTAATGTTTAGGGTAACATTACATCATTACCCCAAACAAAAAGAACTAGAATAAACACTAGTTATATATCACTTATTATTTCTAGAATGTTTAAATATGTTTTTGTTACCTCATCTGCAATATGAAAGCTTTCTAAAGAGGACTGATTATTTACTGTAACATACTGTATACATTTTCATATGATGATAATACAGATTTCAGTGCCAAATGTGAGCATAAACTACAAATGAGAAATGATAAGTATCTGTACATTAACTGCTTAGTCTCAGGTATCAGTAAGATTAATCTCGTGATTAAATTTTAAATTTGTATCCACATTGAACACAAAAGAAAGCTATGTCTCACACAAATGAATTGGAAGATGAGGATTTGGAGTCCTGTTACTTCCAATAGTTTATAAAATCTTAATGGTAACACTGAGGTTACTGTTTTGTAATATCTAAATGAGACACACACAATATGGATAGATTGGGCTCAAAATACATTTGAATATTTGCAGCATAAACCACTATTATACACAGTGTGAATGCTAAATTATATTAAAAAAAGCATTGTGGCTTTGTATACAACGCTGCTGCCTGAATACTATATACAGAAGCAGTGGAACCTAATGACTCCCAATTTGGACAAAAGTAAAACACATTTTGAATTCAATTGAATACACATACTGTATATTACTGTACTGTATGTTGTGGAAATCAGGTGATGACTTTACTTCCATGTTTGGTACTACTTTATTTTCTGATGTTTTATCCAAAGCAACTTACATTTACACACATTTAAACAGGTGGGCATTTTACTGGAGCAATTTGGCTGAAGTACCTCAAGGGTACTTTAGCATTTCACCTGGGCCTTCCAGTTACACGTCTCAGAACCTTCCTTATGCTCAATAACTAATATGTTTTACAGAATCAACTATGTAAACTATTAAATCATCCGGATTGCATTATGCATTAAGCACTGTTCTTTATTCAGCACTCGTTTGTTTGTTCTTGTACTTGGGAGTTCTTTTTGTTGATTAAAACAGATTTTCTGTTTGTGTTTAGACTCTCCTGTTACAAGGTGTTTTTATAGTTTTCCATGTTGGTAATAATGATAAAAACGGACACAGCCTCCGTTAAATTTAAAGTCATTAACTTGGAAATAGTGAAGAATCACTGACTCAAGTGTTTTTTTTTAAAGAAAATCAAATTCTATCTTAACGCGAACGCTGAAGACTATTAACTTCAAGATGTTAATGCTTTGATGGACAAGAGCTGCATTCCAATTTGAATTAAATTGATCATTTTAAGCTGAAGAGCCATTTAAACGCGAAAAGTTAAACGTTCGCTTTCATGCATGAATATTGAGAACAGCTATGTAGGCATGGCTGACTGTTAAAATTTAAATTGGGTTGATCTCCGTCATTTTTTCTTTACAAGCTTTTTTTAAAACTGAAAGTAATAAAACGTGTACCTGAACAGAGATGTCATCTTCTATTTTGTACACTGAGACCAAATACCTTGCCTTCAGCCTGCTTTTAGGCAGAAGGTGAGGAAAGCATACGAAGGCATTGCAATTACTCAGTACTGGCACAACAACTGAAAGCAAAAAGAGCATCAAAGCTTTTTCTAACTGTATTATTTCTCAGATAGAGAAAAAAAAAGACTGAATACAAGAGTATGGTTCAGCTCTGAGGCTTCAAATATTGTTAGAGAATTTTGAGCAGTTTTCTCTTCTCCTTTAAGTACCTTACAACCTTGAATTGTAAAAACACCATTATACTGCACCACCCATGCAGGGCGCTTAAAAATTGAAATCAATGAGTGAAAAATGATTCAAGAAAGTAACTACATGGCACGTCAGGTCTGTAATTAGTTCTTTACAGAAAACAAAACGTGACGTCTTGACTCCAGGTTATTTTGGTTTTGCCATATCGCGACGTTTATTAATTACGACAATATACGTTGGACAAATTAACTTTGTTTTGGTGAGCAAAAAGTAACATACATCTTTGATCACACTGCATTAGATTATGTATTGACGCCCGTGTTACTGTTAAAAAAGTTTGCTTTTACAGTTTCAGATCTCAAGTCATATGTAACTCCTATATCTCTTGCCAATTTTCATTGCACAAAACACATTACATTATTAAGGTTGATTAGCTACAGATGATAGCAGTTATTTTAAAAGTATCTATAGTTTACTGAGTTTTACATTAAATTAAATACCACTTTCTTTACCGGTAAATATTTTAATTTTATCTTGCAAGACAAAAAAGCGAATATAGGGCAAATGTAAGAGGTATAATTATATAATAGACTGCATGAAATTATATAAACAGAAATTAGAGTAGACAGTTCTCTTTCATAAAAACATTATTAAACCAATAAATATTTATCCACGTTTCAAAGAGTGCTATCGGTACTTCTCAAACCATTTCCGTGAAGACTGTAAATAGTGCAGTTCCCTTTAAATTCAGTTTATAGCTGTTCGATTCTTTTCCCGGTGTAACTAGTATGTTAAAACTAAAACAACGTGAACAACTACAAATAGTGACACGTATTTTATACGATACAATTTTAATTATTTAACAAAAGCAGAATATTTTTCTTTTTCACAAATATACTTCTTGTTTTATGATTTGGTTTTAATCCGGCAGTCAGTCGGACACCTGCATTAGGGGTCTTTGCCCTTCAATCTGTGAAGCGCTGTGTGCTGAGTTCCAGTGCATCGTGTCTGTAGAAAGACAGACTGTAGTAGGTTTATATTAGTACATTATTTGGAATGATACATTTGGACAGGATACTAAGGATTTCTTAGTATATCTGTTCAAGTCAGAAAATGAAAGTAGTCGCGTTGATAAGGTAACATACATTACTGTCAATTTAAAGTTCTTAAGACATTTCTGAATTAGTCAAATAGTAATACTATTACTATTACATTTACATTTAAAATACATAAAACATGTCCGTTATTATTGGTTTTGTTAAGGTGCGATGACATTTTCTCCTTTCTGTAAGAAAGAACTGGGTATTGCAGGTATTGTATTACGATTTCAAACTCCAGAGTGTAAAATCAAGATGAAAATGCCATTTATATATCTAGACTACATATATAAAGATTTGGTTATATGTTTTAAAGTTTTAATTTACCACACTTTTTACATCACAGAAGTATAGAATGATAAACAACAGGCACGCACTGTAGCGATTGTTTTAACATTACATCTGTTTTTTAATGCTAGAAGAAGAATGAACAAAATCGTCTTCTGGAAATCTTTATTTCTCAAGCTGCAGGGTTTACCATTTAAATAACACAAGATAAACTTTATGGAAATAAGTTTTCCTTTGTAAAAAAAATGCATCTTCCTTTGTAAAAAATGCAAACATCTGTTGAGTCTTTGTTTTTTTAAAGCATTTCATGTACTGTACACATTAGTTTTCAGGCAATTCCATAACACCAAACATTTTCAAACCGTCTTCTGTACCAGAATATCATCGTTCTTAAGCCTTTAGAGTGTTTAAACTCTCCTTTAAAACACTTAACAAGTTATTGTTCCCTGCACAAACAGCATCTTTCAGGGTGCACAACAGGTGATTTCAGGTTAACCATTCTTAAATAACTTGTATACTTTTTATTTAGTGGTGGGAAAGACAGCTGCTACAATATGATGCAGTGTGTTGCTGCTGGACATCAGATAGTGGCTTTAGCCAATTTACGGCCTGCTGAGAATAAAGGTGAGCCTCATATATACCCACCCCTTATTTATAAATTCTTTTTTCTCACTTTTGGACAAGTGATATTATTACAGTCATAGTGAATTCATAACCTATAAAAGCAACATGGTAGTATATGATTTTAGAGAGTATAATGCTAAAATGCTAAAAATATTAAGTTACTGTCATGTGAATCAGTTAAGCATAACATCTTGTAGACAGTTATTTCAATGCTAATTTTTATCCTTACAGTATTTGCAGTAATCATGGGCAAATGAGGATCTGTAGTTGGGTACTACCTGTTTTTTGCATAGTGCTTGCTATGTATCTTATTTCTTGTTTTTGTCCTATAGATGAATTAGACAGCTATATGTATCAGACTGTGGGTCATCAAGCTGTTGCCTTGTATGCTGAGGCCATGGACCTGCCACTTTACAGACATACTATTGTAGGAGAAAGTTTGGATACTGGAAGGGATTATATTGAATGTGAAGGGGACGAAGTTGAAGATCTATACCACTTATTGAAGCTTGTTCAGGTAATCACTAATTGTTTTTTTTTACTTCCAAGGTGGAGAACACGATTAAAGTTATGCACAATCAAACCTTATTTTGTACCTGAGTAATGGAACAGAGGTCCTCATTTAAACTTCCATTACTGCTAGTACAGTCTTAATACATTTTCTACAGTCTGCTTTACTGCATGCTAGTATATCATACTGGAGCTAAAAAAAACATTTAGATGCATAGGTTGTGATTATGTATTCGTGTAGTGCAGGGTCTTCAAAAAACATTTTATTCTATGTTCTATATAACCTATAGTGCATTAGCAGTCAGGACTTTTACATTAGCCTTTTAAAAAGTAAATATTTTCATATGTATCTTGTTGACTCAGAGAACTTGTTTTTGTTTTATTGTTTTGAAACTCAAAACTGTTGCCCTCAAGAGTTCCCGTGTAATGTTCAACTCAACTTTGGATATTTCAATTATTAGATTTATAGTTGTCTTTGGGTTATTGCTGTACATTAGGGCTGTATGCAGAAAACCTTTAGTTGTATTCTAAGAGATGGAATGCATTATAAGTCTTTCAAGATACTAATTTAACTGTTACTAAAATAAGTTGTTTTCATTTTGAAACATATTGTATTTTGTTATATTTCAAGGTTATATAGCCACGGGCATGTTCTTATGTATTTAAGATACCCCCCACAAATGAAGAATCACTGGATTTTCTGATTTGGGAAATATGTTGGCCTAGACCAACTGTGAGACAATGACCTATAATGACAATTTGAAGTCAGTTTTCACCCTCAAAATCTCAACTTGTAAGAATGATAAAATCAGTGGTCCTTACTTGAAAACTCTGTAGGTAATCACTCAAAATCACCAATCAGACTACTGCATCAAGATGAAACTGCATTTTTATTAAACTAGTTGCTGTAGAGCTTTGTAGAAACTGAAACACTTACAGTCTTTGTCTGAGCAGGGTTATCACAAAAAGTCAAAAGTTTTCTTTCAGAACTAGTTTTATTTCATTCTTCTGGTCACCTTATAGACCATAATCAAATGCTTGAGAATTCTGTAGAAATGTTGGGTTATATGAAGACAGTTTATGCTTACTAGAAATGACACTAGGTTAGAAATAAAAACATGTGTCTTGCCGAAGTTCTCCTTGAAACTACATGGTGGGAAAAGGTATTCACATCATTTATGATAATATAATTCTATCTGTGGTTAGCATTAGGATTGTCCAAGAGAAAGCATTAAGGGTTTGTCCAAGAGAAAGCATTCACAGTATGCTTCTTGGTAAAAGTCTTGAAATGGACAAATTCTGCAACAAATGGAATGAAGTACAGTATGTACAGTAGTAGCACATGTGGCCCTATGCCTCATTGTCACAGAGTATAGGTTCTAGTTGTATATGTGCATAGTATTTGGTTACCTTCTTAAGCAATCAGTTGATACTTATCAATTACAGCTTATTGCAGTTCAGAAAATGTCAGCCTTCATTCACATATTGTAAAACTTAAGTTACTGTCACAGTCTTGTAGCATTTAATAGTTTTTTCTGGACCTTCTTATTGAGATTTCAAATAATGACATTTAAGTTAAGAGCAATTATACGTTTTGAGATCAGTTTACCCATTTTCTAGCTCAGTTTGTTTCACCTTGCTGTTTCATATAATTGCAAAGCAAATGCAAGAAAGAAATGTTAGAAAAAATCACTTTATGTGCAATGCAGCAGTGTTTTGGGACAGAAAAATTGTTTTTTTTCTCTGATGATTTCTGGTGGAATAATCCCTTTGAATTCTGAATTTACCAAATTTACTTCTGCACGAGGAATGCTCCATAAAGTCACCCAAAGTTTAGCATTAACACCACAACAAAATAGTCTGATTAGAGTCTTGCTGGTGGACTGCATTTTTAATTTTTGAAATTTTTAAATTTTGTTTTACACTATTTTATACCTATACATTTTTTATTCAATGAAGGCGGTGATGTATTTAAAATTGTGCAACAATACTTTTTTTTATTACATTTGAGGACTGAAAACTAATTACTTTGTGATATCTTGGTATTAAAGAACTATTTCCAGTGTTATTATCTTTTCAAATTGAACTCCCTTTAAACCACATTACTTAACACTTTCAGATATCGGAGTGTTTAAAAAATATATAGCATTGAATAATTAAAAACATCAAAACATTCACTTTACGACATAGTTATGAAACTATCAGTGTTTGGAAACTAATTTTGACAGAAAAAAAATATAGACCAGCTTGATTGTGAAGATGTACTGTACGTCTAAATTGCAATAATACAAGAGAACTCCAGAGAAAGAGAAAATTACAATTGTTGTATTTGTTTACGTCAGAAAGTAACTGGAACTTCTTAGGAAGCAGTATTTTACATCATAATGAAAGCAAAGTATGCTTGTTTATTATTTTTCTGCCACTGAATCTTTCATGTGAGATTCTAAAAAAGCACATCTGTAGACATTAAACACCTGGTATTTCTGTTATACAGCCCAAGTGCCCTTTACACTAAATGAAAAATAACTTCCAGCCTTGACAACTTTCAGATGAACTGGCCCAGTAATGAATTTCCTCCATGTTTAAGTCTGTCTGTTAAGTATAAAAATAAGAAATGACATCCAAGTAATTTTAATCCTTTTTAATTTATATTTTATAGAAATTGTTTGCTTGTGCCACAAGAAAATATCAATTCATACCAAATAATTTATAAGAATTGTGTTGGTTTTGTCTGTTTGACGGATTTCTGTCAGGTTTTAAAGTATATTAAACACTCCTGGCACTGCTCACCTGATAACTTGCAGCTGGGAGTAAGCTGCTTGTGAGCACACTTCCAAGAAAAGAGGGGTTTTGTGTCAAAGAAAACTGCTGCCCACTACATTAAATAAAATATACCCCGGGTTTCTTCTCACACAAACAACATAAAATTTTCAGAGGTTTTCGCTTTCCATGAGAAATTGTCTGAAATCATGTAAACAGAAAAAAGCTGTGTTCCCCCTGTAGGTGTGTGAAAATGTGTTCATTCAGACTTGGTCCTGTTGTGGTAATCCAGAATGAACAGAGACAGGCTGGCTGGCGGTGAAGGATGGTGAACAAGCCTCAGGGCTTTTTTTCCTTTCCCTGATCAGCTTTGGACCCTGTGATTGCCAGGTTTTCCTAATTTCCCATTTCCAGGGCATCACCGACATGACCTCTCCTGCTAAGTAGCAAGTTGTGGGACTTGGGAGTGTCTCTCACGGCCTAGGAGATAGGCAGCCTCCGCGCTGTTTACAATGCTCACAGTGAACTGTGCACTTGCAGCAGAGTTTGATAAACACACATTTCCTCCCTTTATCAGTGAGATGGCAAAATGAGAAGTATGAGTTTCCAGTTTTACTTATTCCCTTCAGCGCTTTTCCTGTTTGAAAAATAAAGTTTACTAATTGGGGGTTGATCTTTTCCTGTTTGAAGCTTAAATGCTGGAAGATGGGGTCGACCGAGTTTTGCTGCTTTATTTGTATATTTCTTTTTAGTTAGCACAGCTTACCGAACCTTGTAAAGGTTTTTTTTTGTTTGTTTGGCAAAGACCACAACACTTTTTATAAATGTATTTTTTAAAGTTTTCATAAAGAAAATGTACCCAAGCTTTTGGTGCTTAGTGTTTTATGCATAGTTCTTAAATAGTGTTGGTTAAGAAAATCTACCCACACAACAATTCAGAATTTCTTTTGTTATGTCTGCTTTGTGTTCAATTTACTGAGAAAAATTATCAACTTCAATTAAGAACAATATGGGTTAATCAGCTATTTCTTCACACAAAATGAATACTTTAACACCACTCATGATCTATTCAGGAGGTGTGATTTTTTAAAGATTCATCCCAGCAGAATTAATTAATTTTTTCCCATCTCTTTACTTATAGTTCTTGAAGTACGGCACAAAAAATATCTTATATACATTATTTGTTCAGATGTTGTTGTGGCTGTTGAACTTACAAAACTTGTCTCTGATTGTGAGGCAATAGTGCCACCTATGGTCTTTTCTGTAAAACAGTTGAGATTTACTTCAGGCTTTTTACAATGTAAAACTATATTCAAGAATGCTCTTTGAAGTAATATATGTTTTAGTTATTTAAAAAAATAAAGCAATAAAAAATACATCTATCTTTATTCCATTTTCTAATGTGGAGCACTAAATTGTGAAAGTCTTTAAATGCCTCAGACTATTTTCCAATACCCAGTAGTAATTTTGGGTGAATATCAGCCTTTGATCTGTGTAATCTGAGAATGATACAAACCATGCAGTCCCCTGCTAGTCTCCAGATGAAGTTGATCTTTGAACTTGACCTTTGAAAGAAAAAAAAAGTGTTTTGTTAGGAGAGAGCTCTTTTGTTCTTTTAATGTAGGCCTAATCCTCCAAAATCATTGAAGAAACTTATGACTTTAGAGATTGCTGTTTTTTATTTGTGTTAATAGACACATGTAAATAATAATGCATTCCAGCTTAGTTTTTGAGTGATTTGCTGTGCCTAATTATGAATAGTTGTCTGTCTGCTTGCTCTCTTTTTGCTTCTTTTTTAAATTTGTCTAATTTTTAATTGAGAACCCCTGAACTCACGCCGGAAAAAAATGTGTAATAAAACCAATTTTCATAAATCCTGGAGTTATGTACATTAAGCAAACTCAGAATAAGATGTTCATCTGCTCTTTAAAATATAGCAGATGAGATGAATATCAAGGTTAATTTAAGTTAAATGAAAAAAAGCACATATCTCAGAAGCCTTTAGCATGTTCTAACTTTGAATATCATTTAAAAGTAAATTGCTACAGTGGGACAATTTGAATTCCCCTTGACGTGTATACAGAGACAGTGAAATCTTTAATATGTTCATATTTTATTCCAGGTTTAATGAGGTTATTTTGCAGCACAAATGAGAATTGTGCTTTCATTGATTAATTTCAAAGTAAGTCACCTTTATAGAGGCATCGGCTATATGAATTAAATACTAACTTTTTTTTTCTATAAGAA